GTGATTCACACTGTTTTGAGCTTAACAAACCAAGTAATGCTGACTTTCACTTGCACGAAGATGAAGCTGTAGCTGGTCATACTGAAGAAAGGGACAAATCCGCTCTAACAAAGAAAAAGCGTGTATCTCTTGAAAGGACTAGAGGCCAAAATCCAGCCAACTTGCAAGTTAAATTTGAAGAGCATATGGCCCAGGCTACGACATACAACGGAAATAAGAAAACCCAGGTGGTGGACCTGGAAGAGGTAAAAACGGGTGAAGGTAACCCCCTTCACCCCACTGAAGTGGATACTTCCTGGAGGTCTGAAAACTGTGAGGCCACTGAAGGTGGCAGTCTGGAAAGAAAGAGCAAACCAGAAGAGATTCATGGCTCAAATTCGAATTATGTGATTGATAACTCGATAAAAAGTCATATCTCATCATCAGAAGCTGTTAATCTGCACCTTGAGAACGATGCTGGCGAGGCTTCTTGCAGCTACCCACCTCGGAGGAATGCTAGTCCAGTTCGACGGTGGATATCAAAACTCACTACCTCAGATCTTGACATTTCCGAGTCTTCTACAAAACTGCCAACAAACTTGAAGGAAAATACATTGAAAGCGAAGCTTCTTGAAGCACGGTCGAAGGGTTCACGCTCTCGTTTAAAAATCTTCAAAGGTTCCTCTTAGATTATGGTGAAAACTCTCAGTTTAATTGGTTACGAAGTGCTGTTGGAAACAAGGGGATTGGCTGCACTGACCTTCAGAATCGGGAACCTGTTGATTGTGAATATCAGGTGGATATATTTTTATAATCTGTCACTTTTAATGGATCATAAATTTTACCCTCCCTCTTACTTATGTTTATAATTTTTTTTCAAAGCGAATCAGGAACCTATCGGTTACAAAGTACTGTTTTATAGCTAGATAGATTAGAAAATACTAGATATGTTGTCTGATTGTTTTGTGGGTAAAATAATTTATTTTTAATGTAAAAAGGTAATAAATTAAAATAAAAAATTTAAGCTTGTAGTCATCGGTTACATTAACAATTTAAATATTTATAAAAAAAATCAACAAAAAATAAACCAACAAAAAAATCAAAAGAAAAAAAAAATACTTGAGTCTATTTATATTATTAAACAACGTAATGTTACTCCAATAAAAAGAAAATTAAAAAAATAGTGTCAATTTTTTTTTTAAATCACCTTAAAAAAAAAAAAAACTAGGCTAGCCTTCCATTCAAACTTATTCAAGTTGAATGACCGCCAGAATTTAGTCTATTTGCTTCGGAAATCAGCCGTTTAAACATCCCCCCGCTCGGCAGCGGTGGTTTGTGGGAAGCATGTCCACTGTTGATAGGCAAGCTTCTCAAACTGGAAAGTTAATTATATAAAACTAGGTCATTGCCGATTAGAAATTTTTCGTGACATTATCAACTAAACTTGCTATAATAATTTAAACTTAAAAATTCTCAACCTTACTTTTTAATTATCTCAAGATTTCAAGTAAATTGTATTGAGGTTGTTCTAACTTGATCTTGTTAACTAAGTATATCTTTAAAAAAAAAATTAAAAAAAAAAACAAAGAAGGTTTTTAAAAAATAATACCTATGCAATTAATTTTTTTTTGACATTTTCATTATACTTGGCATAATTTTTTGAAATTAAAAACCCCCAACTCTTCATTTAGAGTCTTTTAGTAGTTTTGATAATAATATACGTGATTTTGATTTCATGTTTAAGAAGTGAGTAAGATTTTTCACCTAAGATTTTTTCAAAAAACTTAAAGTTGTTAAATGAAAGGGTTTTATATTGCTAAATTAACTAAAGAGAATCATCTAACAGACTCGTTAATTAAACCCTATTTATTTTATTTTATGAAAAGTGATTTTTAAAAAAAAGTATTTTTCAATTTTTTTCATATTTGTTTACCATTAAAAAGTTAACCAATAGAAATATTTTTCAGTCAAAAAAATTTAACTTAGTTTTTATAAAAATATTTTTCTTTTATTTTGAGTGAAATATATTTTTTAGAAGTCATAAAAAATATAAGAATATCCTTTTATTTATTGATTATATCAAATCTAGTCCTTAATTTTTTGGTTGCTTTATATTTTTTTTTAATTTCATTCCTTAGAATTTGATTTAATTTGATTTTTATATCAAATTTAATTTTTATTCTTTTGATTGTTATTTTCTTTCTCTTATTCTTTCCTTAATTGAGATTTCTATATTTATTAGATTTAATCATTATTTTTTTATTGCTATTTATTTTATTTAAAATAATTTATGGAATTGATTTTTTTAATTTCATTATTTTTCATCTTTTTTATTTGTCAAATTTTATTTATATTCTTTTTATTATTATTTTTTTATTTTGAATAATTTATGAAATTGAATTATTTTTTCAATTTCATTATCCTTCAACTTTTTCATCTGTTAAATTTGGTCCATATTCTTTTGATTGTTATTTATTTATTTGATTATGAAATTGAATTATTTTTTCAATTTCATTATCCTTCAACTTTTTCATCTGTTAAATTTGGTCCATATTCTTTTGATTGTTATTTATTTATTTGAAGTAATTTATAAAATTAATTATTTTAATTTTTTTTTCAATTTTTTCATCTGTTACTTCTAGTCTATTTTCTTTTAATAAACTTGAAAAAATATATTAATAAGTTTTTTTTAACTTATTTTTTATGACATAGTTAAATACTAAACACTATTTTTTAACTTATTTTTCATGACATTATTAAATATTTAAAAATAAACTACTCTCTAGGAATTTACTTTTCATGAACATTATTTTGTAGGAAAAATAACTAATTTCTGACAAATAATCAAGTCCTAAATTAAAAGGCTATAAACATTATGTTTGACAGAAAATAAGAGGGATGAATGAAAATGAGAGGAATGAAATTTTTTTAAAAAGAAAATTATAATAACCTAAATGGTGTAAGCAAAACATTGTGTATATGTTGTGATTCATTATGGATTATAATAGTAAGATAGTTTTTTCCCCTCACAAATAAAAAATAAATGAAGTGGCCTTATAGAATAAAAGATTATTTTCACAGGGTTTATTTGTCATTCTAGAATTTGTAAAGGGTAGCTCGATCTTTTTAAAAATTTTTATATGGTTAAATTACTTAGTTATCCTTAAAAAAAAAAACCTTTGTCTCATGGTTTTCTGAATTTTTTTTTTACTGTGTATAATATAAATAATATATTTCCTTTGCAATAAAAAGTTATTAGGCTTGGATTTAATAATATATTAGTCATTTTCATGTAGGTTTTTTTTTTTAATATTCATATGATTTCAAGGGTAATTTTCAACTTAATTAATAAAAAATAAATAGTGATGTATGAAATATATTAGCGAGTGAGCCACTCTATCATCTTTAAGTGGCATATGTAGTGTTTCACAACAAAGAAAAATAGATTTCCTTGGTTTTTTTGGTTTTCATGGTGGAGCCTATTTTCTTGGATGATGCATGCATTGAAATTCCCTCTAGTTTGATGGAGGTCGAGTATTTTTTTGCATTTCTTTTTTTATTTTAATTTTCTTGGTTTTCATGTTGAATCTTGCAATGTCTCGTAGCAACCCTTCAATTTATTTTTCTAAAGATTTAATCAATGTTTTTTTAGTTATTATTTTTTTAATTGAATTAATTCATGAAATTAATTTTTTTTATTTTATTTTTTTGATTGTTATTTATTTTATTTGAAATAATTTTTATTTTATTTTTTACAATTTCATCATCCTTTAAAATATTTATATATTAGACTTTTATTCTTATTCTTTTTATTGATTTTTTTTTACATTGACAAATTTTTTAGATTGATATTTTTTTGATTTTATTCTTTAACATTATATTAAACTTCTTTATTGATTCTAATTCTAAGATTTAACAGATTATGATTTCGAGAGATTAATCCAAATTTATGAGATTCTTTTGAATTCATTTGAATTTTTTGTTTTTCCTTTGTTATACTTGTGCTTTTCAATTTTATTTTTTTGCATTTGATGTAATTTGATACTAGACTTCATAATTTTTCTATATTTAGGATTTCTAACTTATTTTAAAGATAACTCTGATGATCTTGAGTCCCTTTGTTTCTTATTCTTTGTTAGATTTAACCTTTTTTTTTAATTTTTTTTAATTAAATTAAATTAATTACTCAATATTTGTTTTTAAAAAATATATCATCTATTTTTTCATCGTTTCCTTTTTTTCTTATATTTTCTAAAGGTTAGGAAAAATATATTTGACTTATAGTGTAACGCAAGACAAAAAATTATTTCTTTTTTAAAACTTGTGTTTTTTTAGTTTCATACTTCAAAATTTGATTTGTTTGGACATTAGGCTTCTTTTTTTTTTTTTGCTTTCTGTAAATTTTTTTACTAATTTTAAAAATAAACTAGGTTATCTCAAGTCTTTTATTTATTGTTTATTGTTTTTAATGATACTATTAAATTATTTTATTTTAACGGATCTAGTTAAGTCAATGAATCAAATCTTGAATTTTTTTTCTTTTTCTTTAAAAACACTAGCTGCTTGAGCATCCTTTTTTTTTAAACAATTTGGTTTAGGCTGTAATGTAGAATTGAATTTTCTAATTGGTTTTGATTTAGATTTCATGGTTCTATCACAAGCTCATGTTTTGGATTGCGAGTCTCACGGATTAAATAAAATTGATTTAAGTTGATCTAGTATGTCATCGTTTTAATATATTACTATTTCAATATTTAAAAAATATTTCACCTATTATACATTACTTTTTTTTTTTTTTATGTTTTGATACCTTTATATTTTTTTTAATTGAAAACAATAATAATCTAACCCGTAGTTTATTGCGGCAAAAAAAATGCATATTCATTGGGGAGTAGTTGTATTGACACTTGTAATCTAATAAAATAGTTTCAGACAACATGAACATGACTCAATCCAGCACCAAGCCGAGCAGCCACGTATGTGCAATTTCTGTAAATAAATGCACAAAAACAATGACATTTGTTTTTCCTTTTTCCTTTTTTTTTTATCCCCCGCCCGATATACATATACAGGGACAGTAAATTTACTATCATTCTTTCTCAATCTTTCAGGCTTATAATCTACAAAGGCCCAATTGGACTCTAAGACAAAATGGCAATTAGGCTTTTTTGTGGGCCTGGTCTCTGGCTTATATTCTTGACTATAGACTATGGAGGAGGTAACCAGTTAGCTCTGAAGCGTTTCATGGTGGCGTGGTTCCTCTGTTTTCCCCATTTGCTCTCTCGCATGCATCAGCACCCTGATTCTCTCTCTAATTCCCTTTCTTCTCCTCTTTTCTGCTTCCCTTTACACAAGATTAGCCACACAGAGAGATGGCAGGGGCGGCCTCTTTTAGGTGGATACTACAGCTTCACAAGGACGTGCCAAAAGCAGCTCGTTTCTACTCTGAAGGACTGGATTTCACCGTAAATGTATGCACTCTTCGTTGGGCTGAACTTCAATCTGGATCTCTTAAGCTAGCTCTCATGCAATCCCACAAGTGAGAACCATTTCTCATATGTTTTTCTTTTTTATTTTGCCTTATATCTGTTTGATGAAATGTCTACAAGAAGCATACACACTTTGATATCTGTTTGATGGAAGATTTTCACCGTAAATGTATGCACTCTTCGTTGGTTTTTTCATCTGGGTTGCTTTCAGCTCTAATTGGTGCAAGCTTCTAACCCTGTTTTTACAGCAATCATCCTATGCAGAAAGGGTATTCTTCTTTGCTGTCATTCACGGTAACTGACATTAACACGACAGTGACAAAACTCATGGCCTTAGGTGCTGAATTAGATGGCTCCATCAAGTATGAAATCCATGGAAAGGTAATCACCTCAACGTCAGTAGGCATATTTAAAATATTTTTTTGGGTCTTGTTATAAAGGGCTTTAAGATCTTGTACAAATTGCTTTTGATCAGGTTGCTGCAATGCGGTGTATAGATGGCCACATGTTGGGCCTCTATGAACCTGCATAAAAGCTTCGGAGACAAGTGATTTCTATATCAATTTCAGTAATACTGGTTGATCTTTCTGTGACGTGAACTCGTTTGAGGACATGGAGAAAATGTAGGCAACTTTTCCATTCTTTGGATTTCCTTCAATAATTGATAGTGTTTTTTCGTCCAGATCAATCATACTGTGCATCGAGTGTACAGTGTTGGACCTGAAAATACGGCCAATATGGCAAGTAAAAATTACTGAAGAAGAGGGGGCTCTGGGTGAAAATTACTGCATAAGATCTTCAGATTCAAGTGATTTCTACATCAACTTCAGTAATACTGGTTGATCTTTCTGTGACTTAGCTCTTTTGAGGACGTGGAGAAAATGTAGGCAACTTTTCCGTTCTTTGGATTTCCTTCAATAATTGATAGTGTTTTGTCGTCCAGATCAATCATAGCTGTGCATAGAGTGTATAGTGTTGGACCTGAAAATACAGCCAGTATGGTCAGTAAAAATTACTGAAGAAGAGAAAGGGTTGTATTTTTTTTTTTCCTTCAATACCTGTCATGTAAATTGGGTATCTTTTATGATCCGTGTCCCCAAGAAGTGACAGGAAATCATCTCTTGATCTTTTCGGTAGCACAGCTGCTCTTTCTTGCCTGCTCTTCGAGTTATCATCTTCGACCTTAGCAAAATTGCATCAAATCCATAATTTTACTTGGTGAAATTGATTGCTGTTTTTTTTATCTGATAAGATTGCCTTTAAGGGTAGAAGTCACACCATGTTTCCATGCAAATTTTAAACCATTTGAGATTTACCACATCAAAAATAGTGTTTGGGGAAAGTATATGATTGACAGTATTGTTTTAGGCTATGCTATGGCTGATACCGTGCGGTAGAAGTGGCCTAGTAACAAGGGAAGAGCAAGGCTCTCTAATTCAACTTCTTGTTTCGTCAGAGTGTATTTGTTGCGTTTATTTTACCTGCTCAACTTGAAGGTGGAGATACATGTTTGCATGGAAGAATGGTGTTGCCCCAACTTCATGAACAGAAACTCGATTCCTAGATGCGGTCTCAACATTCAAAATCCTCCGAGTTCCTATGTTAATAAGATTATAACTGTGCCCTACAGAAACTTCTGAAGATTGTATTTTCTGGAAAGAAAGCAGGGCTGTCAAATACCTCAAGTAACTAATCTCAACATGATGAAAAACCCAAGACTACTAGATCTTACACTCAACGCATCATCGATGCTTGTTGCTTCCAGGAGGTCTCGTGAGATGAAATTCCGTCCAATCCCACCAGCGACAATCTCAGCTTCAGATGGGGGCACTGAGTTTAGCGTAAATGCCTAAGAAGATGACACGATGGTTGCAGTTTAGATTTTCATGTTTAAGTATAATAAAGTGTACTAACAAATCAAATATAGCTAAAACACCAGGGTGAGCTGGAGTTTGCTGCATGAAGTTCCAGGGTAACTCTCTTCTGGTGTTAGATTTTTGGTAGGCCAGTTCATTCTCTAGTTACTATTATCTGATCATTCTAATTTTGACCAACGGTGTCCAACGTGTGAGGTCTTAAGCCTTGGTGCCCTTTAGAGCGTAGAAGGGTTCCATTCCTCTGTCGGCTGCGCATATTTACGCAGCCAAAATCAGGGAAGTGGCCCCCGATAGGATCTTGATGGGTGAAAAAACATACCAGTCCATTGCTGTTGAACCCAAACGCACAGCTTGGAAGCTCTCCTGCATATGTGTAGCCAACAAAGGATAACCCATTTGGCAAAGTTGCCTTGATTATATACCTGCAAACCCCACACGAAAATGTCGCGCGATAAAAAGAATAAAAGAAAAGGAAACTCTGGAATTGAATAAAATGGATTTAGTCCTAGAAAGACCTAGGATATACTAGAATTAAAAGCTTACGTGTGGCCAATTAGGGCAACATTTGCATCTTCATTATGTGCTGCAATGGCCATAGAATCACTAACAACAAGAACATCTGAACAGTCATCCGGCGTGTTGTAAAGGCTGGTGTCTACATTTGAATTTGCCGCAGTGCTCTTTGGAAGAAACGGAAGAATCTCCTTTCTGAAGTTGATTAATATCATCTGCATACATACATGAACAATTATTGACTAATTTTATATTAGGTGCTAATATAATACAGCTCTGATAAACCTGAATGATGATCATTACATAAAGAACTGGCACTCCACTTCCTTCTGCAGTCCCTAATAGCTCATCCCAGTATTTTGGAAATTTCTTTTGGTTGTTAATGGTGAGTGCTTTAATCAGTGCCTGTGATTCTGGTGTTTTAGCAAAAGGAAGGAGCTGATTTTGAAGAACGAGGTCGGTAGATAACCTGCTTCTAATCTTTTTAGAAAACCTCTGCCCTGTTAAGAATCCCATCTGGTAGGGATTATCACAGGGTCCAATTTCTAGCATCTCTAACATTTTTTCTCCCATGTTAGAGCTCTCCCGTAGTAGGCAACTTACATGTGGCTAAACTTTGTGATAAAGGGTATCTTATCGCTTCTATTATCTTCACATGTGAGCATGCATATTATTGTTTTATACCAAAGTAGCAATCAGTCACACTTTCCCTCGAAATAAATTGAAATGACCGTTACCACTACTTGAAATTTGGAAAGGATGAACATGTTCTGTTTTCCCGTGATTGGTTGATTACTTAATTTCTTTCTCATATTATCATTTTGGATTTAAATACAATTGAGATTTCTGAGGGGACAAAAAAGATTCTAGTAAATGATTTGGTTAAACGACGAAGATGACTCATCCAATATCCAATTTGGAAGGCATGGTTTAGACGAAGCCCAGCAAGCGCAATCCCCTGTTTTAATCTTTTTTTCAAAATCAAGTCTAATTTTGACAATTTGTTCAGAAGTTGTAGGCATTTTATCCCTTTCATTTAATTTTACAAATTCATATTTCATCACTTAACAATATTTAACTTGAATATGTAAGAACTTACTGCATTAACATCCCAACTTTAAGTCAAACAAAGTTCACAAATATTCTCTGCAGTAATTTTTTGTAATAATTTTTTTTTTTAGATTGTTCTGGTTAGGTTGAAGATGTTATTTTGATATTTAAATACTTTATACACACAATATTTTAAATTTATTGGTGACATGTTTCTTTCAAATAAAACAAAAACATTATAAATATATCTGTATATTTTTTTATATTAATTTTTTTTTATTTCAATCAACAATGAAGTGTAGACCAATTACTTAGTAAAACTATTTTACCGGTTAAAATAGGCTTTTATATGATACAATTTATAACTATACTTATGTTGAATGTCACTAAAATCTTAGTAAAATTCATTATAGGTATCCTTATTGTTAGATAATTTTATCATAATGTTTTTTTTGTTAATAATAATCATAGGTTAAGAATGTTTTATATGTCATGCAATTTTAGTGTTACCTGCTGTTCTTATTATACCAAGCACATGATGATTTATTATAAAATAATGTATAGATTTATTTTCACATTGAAGAAAACAAATGCTTTTTTATGTAATAAAATGAAATGATTTTTGAATTAAAGAAAAAATGATTAAAATTACTAATTCAATTTAATTTTATATGTTTTCTAAATAATATAATTGAATTCAATTATATAATTTAGTATCTTATTGAAAACATAAAAATTATATAAAAAACTATGATTGAAAGAGAAATTGAATTTAATGTCATGATTTGATTTCAAACAGAAAAAAATACGGGGCTCTTCTGCCATCATGGTCTCAAACTTCTGCATTGACTTCATCAACAGTAATCGGCTCCTAATTAAGCATCAACATGTATTGCTATGGTAAAATTCGAAATCAGCAGCTCCAATCTCCATCCCATCCCAAGAATCAACAATAATATTATAGGGAAAAACCGAATTTCTTCATTCTTAATAGCAGTTGGTTCTGTCAAGGTATCAGTTATAGCTTTACTTAATCTTCATCTTGCCATTTTCCTACTAGGTTAAGAAGCCACTATAAGGAAAAATCTAGAATTCCTATCCCCTAACTTATAGCACTTAGTCCTTGCCTTTTGCCTCCATAGAGATTTAGCATTCTACCCATCATTAGGAATTCTATATGAGAAGTCCTTAGCATTTTTATGTCTGCTATAAATAGAGTGAGCAGAACTCCTCGGCCGACTCGACATTTAATTTACTCTCCAAATCTACAAAAGACGTATGTATAGTTATGTACCCTTAGATTAGTCTCGAATAGAGTTGTCTGTCGACGACATCATCTGGATCCTCAGAAGTTGCAACACTATCAGTGTCCAACCCATACAGCCAGCATTCTATATCCCCGTCGTCATCATAATCCTTTAGAAGGCCCATATCCTGAGCCCCCCCTCGAAGAGTCCAAGTTTGCACTGCTCAATCCTTCATGAACCTCTTCACTTGAAAATTGTTGAAAAAGATTGGTTTTGGATTCAAATTCCCATATCTCCAGAAACCAAATCTTTGAATCCTTGATTGGTTGTTCAGTCTTTGTGCCAATGCTAATGGCAGACCTAGTATAGATACACAAGCAAAGCGATCAATTGAAGCATTCGAAAGCATGCCATGACATTAACTCGTCAAAAAACAAATCCAAAAGTGAACCAGACTCCTCCACACACCATAAAATAGATCAAAATGTATCAAATGTTAATAAAGCCTGTAAACCATCAAGGATTCTAAACGCAAAAGAATCCAGACTACAATCCATCAAGCTTATAAACAACCATAATTAATGTCATATAATATAATGCCCACCAAACTCCTCTTAACCATTCCATACTATATATCTTCTATTACCTTCAGAATAAGTTTTCTCGTCACGCAGTTTGAATGTTTTTGAGAACTTTTTTATCCATCTGGGTACTCGATCTAAACAGTTTCAATTCCACATCATCCTTCTTCCTCTCAAATTTTGCAACATTCACACTTTACTTGAAAATCCCAAACGAAACTTCATTAATCCACCGACATAACAAGATATTCAATGACAGTACAAACTAAAGGTGCGAAGACCCAAATCTCCTTCCAAGCTTTATTATTTTCTTGGCGATGAAGATATCCTAAACTATGCTACATACTTAGAAGAGGTTTTCTTTAGAGCCCAAAAATCAATCCAGGAAGGAAACCATTCAAAATACAGTTTATATGTGTTAAGTTTGGCTTGATTATCATTGGTTAGGAGAAGTCTATTTTCTGATTTGATGTTTAGGTTTTTTTGGTGGAGGGGTTTTTCGTGGGTGGGAGATGAGGAGAGAGCATGGTGGAGGGTAATAGTAGAGGTTGATTATTAATCTTCAATGTCCTCAAGCTCTCATTTCCAACTTGAGTTTTATAATTTTTATAATTAAATTATTATTTTAGTTTTATGCTTTTTTTTTGGGAAAATCGAAACTTATCCTTTTAATAAATAAACATTTTTAAACTTCATTTGTTATTTCATCCTATCTGTTTCATTAATATTAATTATGTTATATGTCCTTTTCTATCCAAAAACATTATGTGTTTCTCATACATATCTCTTCCTATTTATCCCAATAATGGAATAATTATAAAACATAGTTTTAAACACAAAAACAAAAATTATAAAACATGGTTTTAAACACAAAAACAAACCGTATATTTACGTAACAACTTAAGCCGGCCCTGCAAATGAATGAGAATAAATATTGCGAACTTGTAATTAATTTGTATCACAATCCAAATTATTCAAGCGGTTAATTGCAAGGAATAAGTTAAATAAGAAAGAAAACTAAAGAAGAAAAGAAAAGAAAACGAAGGGACAGAAAAATAAAAAGAATTGAAGAGTACCCTTGTTGTTTGGTTAAACATACCTGTAGAGAATAAAACTAATAATGGTTATTTGGGATCCCAGTTCTTAAATTTCGACATGTTTTTTTAGGATTCAGCTTTGAAACTTTCAATTAGAAATCAAAAACTTGGAACGTTTTCCTTAGAACATTGGATACTTAAAAAAATGAATTTAAACCTCTAGACCAAACTGTTTACATAAACAAGATTCTGTCCCTTAGGACTAAAAAATTTACCCTAGATTAATAGGGCTTGAATGCAAGTACAGTTCTTTGTTTAAATGAGTACCGAGTACAGTCCATGATATACATTATTAAGAAAGAACACAGTTCATGATAAAATCAATTATATATATATATATATAAAGGGCATATGCAAAGCAGTGATGGGCTGTCCATAACGCAAGGGATTGGCAGGAGGATTGTACACTCATAACATGGAAGCAAGAAAAGCAAAGGGAGAATATGAATAAATCTCTTTACTAATGGTATTTTCTTTTAAAATAATACTAATAATAATTTGTTCGCCGGTTCCTGCCTTCCATTTACCTATATATAAAGCCTTTCCTCTTCTCAAATATTCATGAGTTGTTTGAATCATCAGTTATATAGCTTGTGATTATGATCAGAGCTCCCAACCTCCATTCCTCTATCTTCCCTTTATGAGATTACTTTTCTCAGCAGCTGCTCTCTTCACCCCCACCCCACCTCTCTCACACGCAGTTTCCGCTCTCAACTTGTATGATTACCAGTTCTATCCTTTTCAAACTTGGTTGTGATATTTTCGAGGATGGTGTCTAGCTAGTATGATTATAAGGGTTACATGGCATCGTCATAAACCATGGATATGTGCATCTATATAAGAGTTGCATAGATATACATTAAGATTTTCACCTTAGCACCGATGAATCTTTTGTGAATTTCTTATCTAGTGAATCGCTCTTTCTTTATGCACTGCGTTTTTTGATTGTAATGTTTTGTTGTCTAGATGATAATTAATAGATAAAAGAGCTTTCTTCGGTCCACTCATAGATAGTAATAGGATTTAATTAGCTACCGACTCATTCATCCAAATGCTGAGTTATGATGAGCAAGAAGATTACCCAGTAAATGAGTGAGTGATGCGGGAGACAAATTAAATCTTAAACTTCCTATCATTGGACTGAAGGGAGCTCCCTTTACTGTTATACTATATTTATAATTGTTTCTTGTGTTCAATATATATATAAGATTCTACTGTTTGTCTGGCGGCCAATGCTGTCAATATATTCTTCAGAAAGCATGAAATCATTCTATGCTGAGGTAACACGTACTGATAACCTTGAACTTATCCATTTTATTTGAGGAGTCTATATCCTGAATATCTTAACTTTTTTACTGAGTTTATCTTTGTTGTGTAATCTGTAAAAAGATCTGCTTATAAATATCTAAGATCTGCTTATAAATATCTTAAAAATTATAGCGTCAAATCAATCACCAGTTGCCATGCTATTTTTATCTTGGTATTTTTTGTTATAAAAACAGTCCAGAAGTGAAAATTACGGATGAAAACCAGAAAGGTTGCTAGAAAACTCGATTTCATTATGATTTGATCAAATTTTGAATCAAACTTGGCCTAGCTAGCCAGGTAGCTAACCATTCAAGCTTGCAGGTGAACTATCTTAAGAAGGAAACAACAATCGAAAGTTGGACACGAGGGTTTTTAGA